GGACTACATCCCAATACCTTGGTTTGAAATCTGGTAAACTCTGAACATGTATGGGCAAAATACATCACGAAGAAGAAAACGTCGACCATTAGAGCAGAGCAATGGAGTCAGCACGGACCATCTTCTTGGCCCTATATCTCCAAAAGTTCCTTCCTCTGGCCGAATAGTTGATGGCATAGTCACTCTAGACTTGAGCTCGTCTCATCTAGACTTCTAGTCACTCTTACGGCTACAAGCTGCCAAAACCTTCTGTCATCAGCAGCTGGTATAGTTGATACCGCATGTGAATTTTATTGGACGACCGCCAAATATTCTTAAAAATGTAGTTGATAAAGTTGTGATCAGTAATATTCAAGTGCTTATACATTTGGTCAAGTGGGTTTGACGAACGGTATACATAGGAGCAGGGATGGATCTTGAAAGAAAGTCTTGGGGGCCAAGGTCTAGGATGATTTTTTTCTGGAAATTAAGAAACCGATAGCTTTGTAGAGTTGCGCAATTAGGACTATAATAATCACGCTCTTAATATTACAAGAACTTATACTCAACAGCACTCGCACACTAACACTCACTGCTTTATAATGCACATTTCACTCTATTCACAACTCGCTACTCACTTCACTCATTATTCTACACACACAGTTTTCTCTCTTCCCTCTATTCCTCACGTCACACACGCACACCCTACAAACCTCACTTTCTCTCTCTGGTGGAGCCTTCTCTGGAACATTCTAGAGAGGAGAGAAGGCTGGACTTGCCAGGAAGGATGAAGAAAAATCTAGAGAGAGAGAGGCGGTGAATCATTCAACACTCCCCCTCACCGACTACTCTTTCTTAATTCTGATCTAGTAACCGTGCCAATATTGCTTTCGTACTCTTCAATTGTCTTGCTCCATTCTGCACCTTGCGAAGCTTCCTCATATGTGGATGGCTCGATTACTCTGACATCATCGGTCAATGACACATTTGCATATTTGGGATTTGATCTTCTTTGCCTTGTCGATCTCCTAAGTTTGAGATTCCTGCTCTTTAGATTCTTCCATCTGACTTGGTCGGAGCTCTTTTGTCATTCTCGGACATATACCAGTTCGCCACGGACTCTTTGATTTTTTTGATGAATGTGCTCTAACTTCTTCTTTTCCAGCTACGAGATCATTTCCACCCTCAATTGGTTGGCCCTTATCAAGCTCGTCATTTTCTTCCATTCTTTTATGAACATCTTTTTCAATTTGTTTTGAATTCGGTAGTTCAACGGCTTATGATGACCACCACAATGATAGGTCGTCGAACGCCACATTTCTAGAAGTGTATCACCTCCTTGTTGTAGGATCACAAAATTCCACCCTTTCCTTTGATGCTCATAGCCCACAAATATATAGCGAACTCCCTTCTTATCAAACTTGCTGCTTAGATGGTCTGGCACGAATGCATAGCAAACACATCCAAATACTCTAAACTGACTTTCCGTCGGCTTGCGATTCCATAACTTCTTGTATGATGACATAAAGCCAAGCCTTGCTTGAGGTAGTCTGTTGATCACGTGTGCAGCTGTCTCCATACATTTGGCCCAAAATCTAGGTGGAACATTCTTCGCATGCAACACACGCACCTACAGGTCTCTTCCAAATGCCGATTCTTTCTTTCGGCAACTCCATTTTTTTGTGGCATATTCTGGCAGGTAAATTGTCGATGTATCTTTAATTCTTGAAGATACCTTTTAAACTCATCTGATGTACATTCTCCCCCATTGTCCGTAAGAAGGCATAGTATTTTCTTACTAACTTCATTCTCTACTTTTGCTTTAAACTCCTTAAATTTGTTTAATGCCTCATATTTTCTTTCATAAAGTTGACCTAGACGTACCTGAAGAAGTTGTCGATGAGCGTTATCATGTATATCCAACCAAAAAAAAAAAAAACGTTATCATGTACTTTGATCCTCTGATTGATGGTTGCTTTACTGGTCTAAATACATCTGAGCGGATGAGCTCGAGAGGCATCTTTGCTTTGTATGTGGACTTCTCATATGGAAGCTAATGTGCCTTTCCGTACTAACACCCGACATAGACTACGTCTTCTTGAACTTCCAAGTGGGGGAGACCCTTCAGCATTCCTTTCTTCATCATCACCTTTAACTTATGGTAGCTTACATGCCCAAGCCGTGCATGCCACAAGTCAGGTGTATCACTCTTTTGAGTTTTGTCCTTGTATGCCATCTAAGTTGACATCACGAATACAAACTCTAATCGATTCCCCTCCATGATTGGTGTACTAGTAGGTTTTAAACTGCGGTACACCTTAATGTCTCTTGGATCGAACACCACATAATTGCCCGGGTCTGTAGAAGGCCAGAAATGAGTTGTTTCATTCCCAAGGTATTCCTTTTATTGATGGCATTATCATTTCTTGTGCAGTCAAGTATAGTTTTGAAGGTTGAAAGAGCATGAAGAATCGGATCTTTGTCCTTGATCTTTCCCATTATATATGCTACACGGACTCTTAATTATATGACATAGATAGTTCACAAAAATATAAAGGAAAATAGTCAATTTACCGCCTGTTCTTTTGACGACTTAACTTCTTTCCTTTTCTTCGAAGCGAACAACAAGCGAGAAAGAGAAGTACCATAAGACCTCCAACAGCAACGACAACGGCGATGGTTATCACTGTAGATTTGTTGCTGTTTTCTACGCATGTACCGTTATGTATATAAGACAATTGCCATACTAATCCAAAACCAAATTAGATGAAAGCGTGTTTAGTATTTAAACAAAACCTCATGACATAGTTTTAAGGGTTTAGAATTTGGCTTGTTGCCCCAGTGTGGGGAGTTCGAATCCCCACTTTCTCGAGAGGGGCTAGGGATGGGAAAGGGGGGGCTAGGGATGGGACGTTTAGTTTCAGGTGTGGGGTTCGACTCTTACGCTCTATAAAGAGGTATAGCAAAAGTCTAAGAATAAGTTGAGAGTTAGAGTAGGATAAGACGAAAAAGAAAAACAGAAGAAATAATATCCAGAAAAAGAAGGTGTGCCTGGACATGGAGGAAACTCATTCTGTCGGGTTGAATTGATTATCACTGGACTTAGTCAACATAAATAATAGAAAAATCATCTCACAATGGATCGACGCATGATTTAGCCTCGGGTAGTAAAAAATGTCTCGAGTTTAAGCCGTTTGAACGGTTCCGACCCAAATTAAATTTTCCGGTATGTAGAAGTCCAAAGCCGAAGTTCAATGCCAAATCTTACAGAAATTGTTTTCGTATTGACTTTGGTCAAGATAACAACAAAGAAAAACGAAAGTCCAAGTCAGCCTTCTTCTTTGACTCGGTCAACATGGGTGCAAGAAAGAAAGAAATAAAAGATAATGGTAAAGTCGGTCAAAGAAGCAGTGAAGACTAAAGTCCAAAAGTGGATTTGGTCGACCAAATCCTAGTTGGATTCAAATATTCACTTCTCCCTAGCGGTTGCTTATATATTCTCAAGGGTTATATGCTGTTGTTGACGTGAAGAGCAGTAAAGAGCCGTCTACTTGTGCAAGTGCTTACCGTGCCGATCTTGATGTGCAGACGAGACTTCATCGTGGACTTCCAATCTCGTTGATTACATCCTGGTGAAAAGTTGCTAGTGTTTAATAGCAGATCAAATTCTTGCAATAAGAATTTGTGTATAATTCTTTCATGAGATTGAGAGATTTTTTCGTAAAAAATTGTGGGGTTAAACATTGTGTGCATTATTGGGTGTAATTGAGGGTTGGAAAACATCGAAAGTATTTGAGTGACTCGAGCGTGGTTGTAATATCTATTGTATTATCGCTTGTTCCATAGTGGAATTCGTTGCTGCTCTCCCGTGGACATAGGTCACTACGACTGGACCACGTAAATCTAGTGTCCGATTTATTTTCTTATTCTGTCAAATTTATTGTTCAATCACTTGCTTCCCAAACAATAATTATGAATGATAACATGAGTGGAGTCTTCTTTAAATGCATACGACCCCCTTTGAGTAATTAAGAGCTTATTCACCCAATACATAGATTTTTGCTAATGGTTTATAAAAAATCATCGTGGAAGGCCAAGCATTCTCACTGCGAGACCATTCATGAAGAAGGATTTCGGTCACACCACCATTCACCAGTGGTAAAATTTGGTAACCGACATGCCATTGGTTGACGAAGGCATAGTCCTCGTGGTGGATTGGTCCGATTCAAGCTCTTCCATTGGGATGCTCAGTCGCCGCAATCTACTTTGGACGAAGAAGGCTGAACGTCGAGGCGATGGCGAGGTAACTGAATTGCTGCTGAGCATAAGAACTACGGTGGCCATGATGGGTCCAATGGCCGGATCTTCCTGAATGCATAGTAAGCAAATGTGCAGGCATCGAAGCACTTGATCTCTTGAATATGAATCCTCGATAGCCGGGTCCAATACTTTCAAGGGTGTGCCATCTCTTCATTGATTCCACACCTGCAATATTTATTCTGGAAAATCTTCACAGAATTGCGGCATTAATTCGACGATTCATCATGCAAGACATCTGAATCTTGCAAAAAACCACATCTGACCCAGGAAAAGAGTAATAATCGTAAGTGTTTCTGTAGGCTAAAGGACAAAGTTTTTACAAAGGAATTTCAATTTCACTTTACCAAAATTGCAAAGTGTGTAATTATTGGTCGCAGTAGCACGATGAAACTTACGTGACTAACGAGATATTCACCCCCATTTAATTGGTGGTAGAAGTTATTCCTCTTGCCATAAATGATCTCTATAAGTATTATGCTGAAATTGTAAACATCGGATTTCACTGAGAACTGTCCATGCATTGCATATTCAGAAGACATGTAACCACTGCAAAAACAAACATTACCACATATGTATATTTCAGATTTAGATGTAGATCACGTAGCATCCTTGAATAGATAAAATGAGCAAGTCCAGCATCCAATCACAAAGTCATCTAGTCACAAACTAAGACTTACAAAGTCCCCACAATTTTGTTTGTGTTAGCCTAAGTTTAATTTCGCCATGCCAAAATCCAAAATCTTCGGGTTCATTTCATTGTCTAATAAGATATTGCTACATTTGAGGTCACGATGGATGATCTGGAGACGAGAATCTTCGTGTAGATAGAGCATTCCTTGAGCAATCCTAAACACTATTTTATAACGTAATGGCCAATCTAATTGTCCCCTTTTTTCAGGATCTGCATCATTGCACCAAAATTCATTAATGTGCTAGCATGTGGCACCTATTCAAAAACTCAAGGTGAAGCTCATAAAAAATACCAAAATATATTTACTTTCATTCATCAAAGGTAGCTTAAAAATAACTATACGCAGTTGAAAGAACAAAAACCAAAAAAATTCAAGGTTTCCATAGCTAGTGAAAGCTTGAACATTTGATTTCATGCAAATTGTACATTTTGCACATAAGAAGGTTAAACTGCAACATACCAAATAAGAAGTAATCAAGGCTTTTATTTGTCACAAACTCGTAGGCCAGTAGCTTTTCGTCTCCCTCCAAGCAAAATCCGAACAGTCGTACAAGGTTTCTGTGTTGAGGCTTTGCAACTAATAGAACTTCATTCTTGAATTCTTCATCGCCTTGTCTTGAGCTTTGAGATAGCCTCTTCACCGCAATTTGTTGTTCATTAGGAAGTCTTCCCTAAAGTATTTTGTATTTATCATTTAATTCCTTATCACAACCTAAAAACTAACATAAGAAAGCTTGACGTTTTTCTTTTTCTTCAACATCATTATGTTCAATTCATATGTAGGCATTCTTGATTGTTGCTAACTAATATGTGATGCCAGAGCATTCCATTGAAGTCGGCAAGTTGTCGATCTCATCGATCACTCGACAAGTTGTCGATTCCAAGTCGACTCATCTATTACAACGTACCGAAGGCCATTAATCCAACCACTTTGGAAATGATAAAATCATGAAGATCTTCAATTGGGTACATTTAATTCTCATATATTTTCTAGGTCTAGTTAATGTCGTTCAAGTTTCTAGAGTCCTTATTTATTTATGGTTGTTTTTATAGTAAATGTTGTTTTGTCTTTCGTAAGAGTCTTTTGTCTTTCGGAAGAGTCTTAGTAATTACTCATGCTTGGAGGGTTGTTCCAAGCTCGTCTATATAAGCATGCTATGATGAATGAGAATACAAGACTTATTTGATTCAAAACTTAATTGAGCCCTTTGGCTTGAGAACCAGAAAGATTTCTTGTTTTACTCTTATCCCTTAGGTGGATTCCTACAGGTGGCGAATATTGCTCTTATCTCTTAGGTTAATTACCTATGAGTGGCGAGCGGCCTATCCATTTAAGTTCTCACTTGTATTGCCTCCTATTTCTCTACGCTATCTCCGGTGTCAATATGTACTATGTACCTGGAAAACTTCACCAAATCCACATGTACCCAACTTGTTTTCAGGAGAGAAATCGTTTGTCACAGCTTTTGTTATAGCCAAGTCTAATTGCAAGGACTCCATAAGTTCGTTTGCACCTACATTACCAAAAAAATGCAACTTAATTATCAAAACATCGACATTGGCGTTTATACGGTTGCCAGTGGTTGGGAACATTATCACAATGAAGAGCACTGCATTAGGCTGGCATGGTTGTCCCCCAATCCCGAAGAAATGTTTCCTCTCTTAATTATTTATGAAGAAATAAAAAATCATCAATACTATAGGGAACAAATAATCCGATGAATTGTAATATGGTCACTTATTCATGCTGAGGGTAGTGTTAGATCTGTTAATTGTGGTGCAGACCGCAGATGCTACCTATGCTTGGAGGAAATTGTTCAAGGTTAGGAGTATTTTGAGGTCTCGTTATGTGGTTGGTAATGGCGAATCTATATCACTCTGGCATGGCTCATGGCATCCTAATGGGATCTTGCTAGATGTATGGAGAGTAGTTTATGATTCACCTCTTCTTTGAACTGCAAAAGTGGCTGATGTAATTTGTGCTACAAATGGAAATGGCCCAATGCGAGGTCTGCAGACTTGGTATCAATCCAGGCAACTGTTTGTTGTGTAAGTTTTCAAAATTCTTCTTTGGGAGACCAAGATACTTGAACTGCTGCTTCTAATGACATTCTTACTTCTGCTTCAGCTTGGGAGATTGTCAGGAATAGAGGCACAAGAGTTGAATGGCATCAGCTGATTTGGATTTCACCTAATGTGCTGAGGTTTAGATTCATATTTTGGTTGGTTATACAAGATAAGCTGCCTATTGAAAGCACTGAGATTAGATCCCATTTGTTCTTCGTATGCAAATTAAGAAAGTCTGGAAGAGTGCCCTTCAGCTTTGTTTTCCTAATAGAGATATTGGTGTTTTGGGAGTTTGAATTGTCCTGATGCAGCAGGCTATGAAGGGGAGAGACTTTAATCGGTGTTTGGTGGAACATTTGCGGAATTGCTGCAGCTATTTGATCTAGAAGGCCAAAAATGAGCTGTTACACTCCTATTGATGGCATTATATATGCTTGTGCAGTCAAGTATAGTTTTGAAGGTTGGAAAGAGCATGAAGAATCGGATTCTTCCATTATCGAATACTGTCTTTGAATCTTAATTGTTGTTGATTGTTTTCAGGTGGTGGTTGTTTTATACACAGGTAGAGTACTTCAATCTTAAACTTGTTGCATGTATTTTCTCTGGTCAATTAATGATGAAACTTGTTTGGAATCATTTATAGGCCCAAAAATATGATTGGTTTATCACATATTCATAAAAATGAAATAGTATTCTTGTGATTTCTCATTTGATAACACGAATTAGTAACAAAATTAAATTTATGAGATCTGATATTTCCGTAAGATCTTTATATAGTCCTCCTATGATATGCGAGTTTTTCTTGTTTACAATACAATTGATATAAAATCATAATACCATCATTTTTTTATGCTATTATAGTGATGCAAAAGTTTTTCTAAGTACATAGAAGGGAAACAATTATATGTACCCTTGCATATCCTGAATCGTATAATTTTAGTCCTGTATATTACTAACAAAAGTTGATGCTGGTTTTGTTTCTGATATCAAATGTACGTTGGCTTTTGGTAACAAGTTTATAAGGAAAACTATTGATATTTAGGCATTGCAAAATACAAATACGTTGTTTTTAAAGCTTGTAATAAGGATTAGCTCCACTTGTTTGATTTGGTACGGTGCCCGACCAGCTTAAATTATGAAAAGGGGCATCGATGCAGTTTCTGTAAAATGTCGCCGATATATTAACTTAAATTAACTTTATGGAGTTGTCTCATCCAATAGGAAGGTATTACAGCTTTAGGGTTTGTATTACCAGATACACAAGTTGCAGTACTTCATAGCAAATTTTCAGCACAACAAGCTACACTATAGCTATAATTATATCACATGGACCCTTAATTTGAATGATTTATATAGTTGATTTATGAAAAATAAAGAGGTTTCATTGGATGCTCAATTATATGATACAGATAGTTTACAAAAAAATAAAGGCAAATAGTCAATTTACTAAGTTTTCCTTAGACGACTTCGCACGTCTTCTTTCCTTTTCTTCGAAGCAAACAACAAGTGACAAAGAGAAGTACCATAACACCTCCAACGGGAACGGTAATGGCAATAGTAATCACGGTAGATTTGTTGCCTTTTCCTGCACATGTACCATTGCGAATTTGAGACAATTCCAAAAATTAATCTAAAAGCTTTTTAGATGAAATAGTGTTAAATATTTAAACATTCTAACGCTCTCCTTCACTAGGTTGGGGTTTGACTTGAGACGGAATCATGAGGTGATGCCGGAGCATTTTGAGACGTCGAGTTCTTGTCGATATTATCGGTACCAAGTCAGCTCTTATCGATATTATCGGTACCAAGTCAGCACTTGTCGATATTGTCATTCCAAGTCAACTCTTCGATCACAACGAACCGAAGGCTGTTCGATTCCTTCAAAGGCCATTAATTATCCACTTTGGAAATGGTAAAGTCATGGAGACCTCCAATCGGTTACATTTAATTCTCGTTTATTTTCAAGGTCAAGTTAATGTCGTTCAAGTTTCGAGAGTCCTCATTTATTTATGGTTGTAAATGTTGTTTGTCTTTCCTATGAGTCTTTTTGTCTTTCCAAAGAGTATTAGTAAATACTCAAGGTTGAAGGGTTGTTCCATGCTCTATATAGACGTGCTATGATGAATAACAGAAGCAGAGATATTCTGATTAAAACTAATTGAGCTTTTTTTAGCTTGAGAACAAGAAGGAGTTCTTGTTTTACTCTTATCCCTTGGGTGGATTCCTACGGGTGGCGAGTATTGCTCTTATCTCTTAGGCTACTTACCTACGAGTGGCGAGTGACCTATCCATTTCAGTTCTCACTTATGTTGTCTCCTACTTCTCTACACTTTCTCCGGCATCAAATTGGTATCAGAGCATGGTTCAATGGCTGGTCGTCATCGACGTGGACCAAACATTGAGTCTTCTATAGCTCAAGAAAGAGACCTACGAGACGTGGAGGTGGATGATTTAAGGAGACAAGTGCAGCAACTGCAGGAGCGTTTGCAACGCTTCGAACTTCTGGAACGTGATGATTTGTGTCACGAATCAGAAGATATTCTCTCTGATGAAGAGGATGTTAACCCTTTCGCTAGTGCTCAAAGTCATGCTTCAAGTGAGGAGGGACTTCCTCGACGTCAGTATCGAAGGTTCCATGAAAGTCAGCAAGATTCCTATGTGAAGGTTGAAACTCCTGAATTCGAAGGGAAATTGCAACCGGAAGAATTCATGGAATGGCTACACGCGGTAGAAAGAGTCTTTGATTAGAAAGACATACCAACTGATCGGAAGGTGAAGCTAGTTGCCATCAAGCTCAAAAAAACATGCGTCTATTTGGTGGGAGCACTTGAAGAAGCAAAGAGCTCGTGAAGGAAGAAGTCGTATTTTAACTTGGGAAAAGATGAGGAAAGAATTGAAGAAGAAGTTCTTACAAACGAACTATTGGCAAGACACCTTCCTTCAGTTTCACAGCGTCAAACAAAAGGAGCTGTCTTTGGAAGAATATACAGCGGAGTTTGGTCATCTCATGATGATTTGTGATATTTCTGAGCCCGAGGAGCAAACTGTTGCCCGCTACCTTGGTGAACTTCGCTCAGAAATCGGTAATGTCGTCCAACTTAAACCTTACTGGACTTATAATGATGTTTGTCAACTTGCTCTAAAGGTGGAACGCCAACTTAAGGAAGCTCGTGGTAGTAGCTCTCGATATCGGGACAAGGAGGGCTATTCCAAAGGTGGGAGTATTCCTACTAAAAATAAAACAGCCGCTTCAAAGTCCACTCCTAAGAATGAAGGAGCATCGAGTTCAAAGCGCCCTAACTGTGTTCGGTGTTTCAAGTGCCAAGAGTTTGGACATATTGCCTCTTATTGTCCAAATCGTAAGATTGTCTCTCTAGTAGAAGAAGAGCATGAAGAAGACAATCATGAAGACTTCCCTAGTTCTAATGAAGGATCGGAGAAGGAAGATGAAGTTATCTATGGAGATCAAGGAGAGTCTCTAATTCTTCGTCGGGTCTTGAATGTTATTCCTAGTGAAGATGGTACATGGCTTCGCAACAACATTTTTCACACTAAATGTACTTCTCATGGGAAGGTTCGTGATGTTATCATCGATGGAGGAAGCTGCGAGAACGTTGTGGCTACAACAATGGTGGATAAATTGCACCTCAAGACAGAGAAACACCCACAACCTTACAAGCTCTCTTGGCTTCGCAAAGGGAATGAGGTAAGGGTTGATAAACGATGCTTTATTCAATTCTCCATTGGAAAAAAAATATAATGATGAAGTATGGTGCGATGTTGTTCCCATGGATGCTTGCCATTTGCTTCTTGGGAGGCCTTGGCAATTCGATAGAAAAACTAAGCATGATGGGTTCAAAAATACCTATACGTTCAAAAAGGATGGGGTCAAAATCACCTTGGGTCCTTTCAAAACAGAGTGTACTCCTAAACAATCTAATGGGGAAAGAAATAATTTACTCTCAAAATCTAAAGTCGATAAGGCTTTAGAAGATTCCTTGGAGATATATGCTCTTGTGGTGTTAGAAGAAAATGAAGAACATTCTGTTGTTCCTTCTCAAGTTGAACCACTACAAAAAAACTGATTTTTTCCGACGAAATTTCCAACGAAAAATTCAGGAAAATTCGTTGGAAAACGAATTTCGAACGAATTTTCCAACGAAAAAAAATTCGTTGGTAATAGGTCGTTGGAAAATTTTCCGACGAAAAATTTTAATTTTCGTTGGAAATTTGCGACGAAAATATTTTCGTTGGAAATTTCGTTGGAAAACTCGTGACTAAATTCGTTGGAAACGAATTTTTTTTTCCGACGAATTTTTTTCGTTGGAAATTACAAATTTTTTTTTGATCGAAAAATCGTGGAAAGTTTTTTTCCATCAAATTTTTTTTTTTGGTCGAAAAATTTCAATTTCAAAAATTTTTTTTTTGGCCGA